GTCAATGAGTGGCAGAACAGAGAGTGGGAGGGATAGTAACGTGACAATCATTGCTTAGAGATACGAAGGATAGGAAGTTGTGGAGAGCCATGATCACCTACCTAACAAGCTTATGCAAATGAATGGCAGAACAGAGCGCGAAGGATAGTAAAGTGACAAACATTGCTTAGAGCTATGAAGGATGGGAAGTTGTGGCGAGCCATGACCACCTACTTAAGCTTGTGTAAATTGATGTCAGAACAGGGGGTGTGAAGGAGAGTAAGGGTGAAGATTTGGAGAGCATGATCGCAAAGGACACGGCAAGAAGAAGAATTTAACATGCAATTTAAAATTTGCTCAACATGTAATGAACTTAGTTTTTTAATTTTATTATCGACTTTATCATATCTGCTATCATTCATTGTGGGTTATTTGAACATTTAAAACCCTAAGTGAATCATGTTTTGTGTGCATTTTCCTTAGTTCGGCCTCTAAAGATCCTGTATGCAGAAAATTTATTTGGTGTCTGGAAAGTAATTTGCACACGAGACTCAGTACCTTTTTAGACTACTCATTTATCAAATAACTGTTAAAAAAGGGGTTCAAGTGAATAAACCCTGTAGATCTTAAGAACAATATCCTTCATCAGACCTCATTGATTGGCGCTACAGAATCACAAAGAACATTACTAAATAACACGAATCACACCATTTGAAAACTTCTAACACATGGGTGGTACGTGTACCTCGAAAAGAAACAAAACATAATCAATATACTGACCTTCTATATTACTCTAAACATGTTAAGAAGGAAACCACCCATCAAAAATAGAAAGGGCGAACTAGATAAAACTATTTTCCTTAAATATATTTCCAGAGGAAGATCTAATAAATTACAATCGAAAGTAATGCTAGTTATTCGATCAATGAATGCCGAATGTTTCCTTATAAGGAAACAGTTAATCCCCCAATTACTAATATCATGTACAGTATTTACATTAGTCGGACTATTGTTCTCATCTTTGTCGTCATATTTTTCCTCAAGGACACATGGCACAGTAGATAAAGGCGTTGGTTAGATCCAGTGACAGACCCAAAGAGTGTGAGTTCAATACCCGGTTAAGGCAGTGGAGAACTTTCAGAGGGAAAATTAGCAGGAGATAACTGATAACTGACATCCATCAAACATGGCACGTGGAACTAGAACAGTCTACCCCAGTGATCGAAACGTTGTGACAAATATGGCGACAAAGATGAGAACAATAGTCCGACTAATGTAAATACTGTACTAATATCATTCTCGAAAAAGAATAAAACGAAGATGTTTTAGGGAAAACAACTGCTTCCAATTAGGTCATTTCTGGGGTACATAATGGGGAAGGCGGGCTTGGCAAATGTGATCCTCACAGGACAGATTGAGGGCAAGAGAGACAAAGGTAAACATAACATACTTGATGAGCTTGAGTAAATGGATGGTGGAACAGGGTTTAGGAGAAATAACGAAAAGAATAAAATTTATTAAGAGTTACAAAGGATAGGAAATTGTGGAGAGCCATGATCGCCTACATCCTGAGGGGACACGGCGTATAAACTCCCGAATCTGGATTAAAGGGGATGTAGTTGTCAGAGACCATTTATAGTTAAAAGCGCAACCAACAATTACCATTTGATAGATAGATAGATAGATAGATAGATAGATAGATAAAACTTCTAAAGCTTTATCTTTCAACTTTGTCAAGGCCAGATAAATCTATTGAATTCACACACACATACATATATATTTATATACACAAATAGTAAGAATAAAAGGTAATGCTTAAAATAAGCTAACAGCTGATCATTGATCACCTTATCAGTAATGATAATATATATATATATATATATATATATATATATATATATATATATATATATATATATATCAATTAGAGTCTGGAGGCGAAGACTGGCATAAGGTTGTGCTGGTTTGAAATAGACTATACCTACATGAGGTAATTTTGAATTTCTGTTTGTATATATATATATATATATATATATATATATATATATATATATATAAATATATATATATAAAACTTGATTAAAATAAATAGACAAAACTTGTCTATATTATTTAATGAAACATGCATCAATATATATATATATATATATATATATATATATGTTTAGTTGGATCCAACCAAATTTGTTAACTCTATCTCTGATATTGAGCGCTTTCTAATAAGTACTGCGTATATAATATATAAATAATAATATATATATATATATATATATATACACTTTTCACACACACACACACACACACACACACACACACACACACACACACACACACACACACACACACACATATATATATATTTGTTTTAAATACGTTACAAACAAAAGTGCAGATCATTGATGACAAACAGTTTTCAAGCCTGTTTTATATTGAAAACATAACATTAAAAACGTTATAACCTCACGGTATTTTACTGACCGACGTATTTTGTTAGGCGTTAACAATCTATGTTATTGTACATAAGAAGATAGATTTAACAAGAGAAAACCATCATTTATGCCTAGTAAAACTCCTGTCTTCATTCATCAAATACATTTTTTTTTCATTTCTCTGGCAGATGGAGATCGATATTAGTGCATTAAAAAAAAAGAAAGAAAATATCTTTTCTTATGCCTCGATGAATTATTGTATTGCCATAAATCAGACTGTCCGAATTCAGCTATAGACAAAAAGACGGACTTTGGTCTCGTCTGAACATATTAGCGAAATGAGGACGTCCAGGTTGCTTGACCTCTGTCCGCTGCAAACAATAGACTGCCATATGAACTGGCCACACGTTATTTTTGCCATTATGTAAGACTCTGATTTACCATTGAACGCTCCGTCCGTTTAGAAGATCTGAAAAGGAAATGAATAAACCCGTAACATCAGCGCCATTACAATCATCTTTGCAAAGATGTTTTCAACTTACTGACTTTACCTGTAATTCTGGACAGTGCGATGGATGGAGGTGGAGCAGGAAATGAAATAGAAGATGGCCGTCTTTCCGCAGATGATAACCCCGAACGAGAGAAGGAGAATAAGAAGAAACTGTCAGTGATGTCTTCAGAAAATGAAAGCGCCGTTAGAATGATTACATGTAGGACTATAATCTTGCTTTCTACGGCTTCGTTCGTGATCTCGATTTGAGATGTACGACCACATAACGCACTTATTGCGTTCGATCTTCTTGGTTCTTCATTATCAATGTTTCTGTTCCTCATTTTCTTGACATTCTCTTTCATTTCATTGCTTCCAAAGCTCAAAAGCCCCTCCTCCTCCTTTTTTCTTTTTGCGCAATTTTTCTTTTTTCCAAACTCCCAAGTTTTCTCCACTTCTTCTTCTTCGTTTATTTTTCTTCTTCTTCCTAATTATTATGTTCTTTCTATTATTCAGCAATGCCCATCTTTTTTTTTTTTTATTAGAGTATTCTTTATTTTCTCATCATCTCCCTTTCTTTCATCTTCTTTTTCTTTATATCTTTTATGCTTTTCATCCCCTTCTCACTCTTCCCATCTTTTTCTTTTCCTCCTCCTCCTCCTCCTCCTCCTTCTTCTTCTTCTTCTTCTTCTTCTTCTTCTTCTTCTTCTATTATTATTATTATTATTGTTAAATAGCCTTTTGTCCATTTTCAGTTTCTTTTTCCTATCATCATTTCCCTTTCTTCTTTTTCTTCTTTCTTCTTCTTCTCCTCTTCTTCTTCACGTTTTTATCTTTTTTTCATCCCCTTCTCACTCTTCGCGTCTTTTTCTGATTTTTCTTCTTCTTTTCCTACCCATCATTGATTCTCGTCTTCTTCTTCTTCTTCTTCTTCTTCTTCTTCTTCTTCTTCTTCTTCTTCTTCTTCTTCTTCTTCTTCTTCTATTATTATTATTATTATTATTATACAGCTTTTTCTTCATTTTCAATTTCTTCTTCCTATTCCCGTTTCCCGCATCTTCCTCCTCGTTCTTCTCCTCCTCCTCGTTCTCCTCCCCTTCATTCTCCTTCTTCTCTTCCTCCTCCTCCTCCTTCTTCTTCTTCTTCTTCTTCTCTCGTTACGTTTTTATCTTTTTATATTTTCCTATTCCTCTTATCACTCTTCCGATCTTTTAATTTTTCTTGCATTTTTCGACTTTTCTTCACTTTTCCTTTTTTTTTTTTTGCTTTTCATCTTTCTCTTCTCTCTCTTAGCGCCCTTTCATTCTCTTCTTCTTCTTCTTCTTCTTGCACTTTAGTCTGTTTTCCCTTCCCTTCCCTTTTCTTCTAATGTCTCTTCATTTTACAAAGCCAATATCATAAACACTTTCTACACGGCTCCGATCAAATAGAATGAATTGAGTGGTACGCCATTTTATGGACAGAAACGCTAGGCGCATGGAAACATCGTTGCTTGTCATGTCAAGAAAAAAAGAAAAAGAAAAAGGTCAACAGTAAAAGATAATCAAGCATGGTTCTCATTCGTGTGCTTATTGTTTTCATTCTTTCATGCGCCTCTTTATCACAATCAAGTAAGAAATGTACGTCAACGAAAGACGGACTAGCCAAGTATCTCTTGATCTCTTGAGCTGTATCTTTAAGGGAGGTAAAAAAAAAAAAAAGAAGAAATACTGGGTTGGTGTCGAGCGACGATGAGTTGCCATCGACCCTAGTCAGCACATTCGCTGGTCAGCCATCAAAATAGATTCTGTAATTCAAACACGGAGATAGACGCTCGTGATGGTGGTTCTTTTTCTCTTTGACCTGAAAGAAGCTGGTAATTTGGCCTGTTGACTAATTAGCCAGCCCTGCTGTGACGTCGAATGACTTTTGCATGGTGGAGTGGATGCTGAGCAATTCCGACCAACAAAGAAACGAGCAGCTTAGCGAGGCTCAAAGAGCAACGACGGACAGAAATGGACGGAATAAATTGTAGTGGCAGACAATTGTCCAGTCGAGCAGATGATGCGGTTACCCGTGTGTACCGATGCCAGATGACGTTAGGCAGACTGGGTGGCCAAATA